GCGGGCGTCTTACCGGATAGATGATCGTCTGATCGAGGTCTGGAGGCTTTATCCTGCGAACTCAGGCTCCAGATGCCAGGGGGACTACCCACCATGGTTCCCAGGGGTTCCCTGCTCGAGGAGAGAAAGGGCTACATGTGCCTGGGCTTCCTGTGGAGGGAGGCTGACCTCCACAGGGTGAAGATCATAGCAGCATGATCAGGTGAGCATAAAGAAAAACTTTACCCTTTAAAATTCAGGGAGAAAAAAAAAATAACAACTGTCCTAGGGCTATGAGGACAGGAAAAAAAGACTGAGGTGTGATGGCTGATGGGGTTCCTATTATACAAGGGGAAGGTATGCTTAATTGTTTAATTGATTGTGTTTCCTGTCCTGAGGGTTAGAGGGAGGAGCTAAACCCATATGTTAAATGCTGCCATGATTAGCCAGGAAAGGTAAAGTACAGTTGGGGAATAAAGAAGATGATATGGTCCCACTTCCAGCAACATTGAAAGCTATCACAGGTCGCGAGCCACAAACATAAACCATGGCTGCCATGCCTCTCTGTGTCTGGAACCCCTCCCTGTTAACGAAGCAGGAAGCACCTCCACCGCCTGAATGTCCTCGACCCTTCCCAGCCATTCTTCCCTGGTGGGAACATCGGTTTTTTTTTTGGTTTTTTTGAGGGCCTTAGCTGCATTTAGTAAGTGGCATAAGATATATTCGAAAAGGAATGTTTACACAGGTTGTGATTCATATCTTTTTACCAGCAAATTTTGTCTTCTGTTTTATCTGTCTTCTGTGCAAGAAGTTTACCAAAACCAGGTTTTTAATGTCTTCAAGGTTTTGTTTTTACTTAATAGTTTATTGAAATATCTTGTTTTACACCACAGTGGTCTGTTGGGTAGCCCAGCAGGGTCATATTAACATAGGTGCTATTTTTTTTTTTTACTTACCTGATTCCAGTGCTGATGTCCCTCGGTGCTGGATTGCGCTACTCCACTGACGTTAGCCCATCAGGCAAATCTAATATTCATGCAGACCGAGAGTTGTGCGTGCATTAGGCCTTCCCTTTATGAAAAGCATTGATTCAATGCTAAACACGAAGACATCCAGCATCGTTTCACAGAGTCTGAAATCCGCAAAGCTGCAGGAAGCGCCTTTAGTTGCTGTCTGGTAGACAATCTCAACCTTGCAATGTAAGCATTGCAGTTTCTCTAAAACGGTAATGTATTACATTGTACGATTAAGGGGACAGGGACAAAGCACCCAGACCACATGCCTACACTGTCCCTTTAAACTTCTGAAATGTAAATGCTAATATGTATGCATGCATATGGGTATTTTGTTTTTAATGAATCCTCTATTTTGTTTGTTTTATCACATTGCTTAGGTATAGATAGGCCTTTAAGCTTTCGTGCCAACTCTTTGGCAATGATTTTCAGTGACTGAGCCATGGCGTACTGGTGAATAATAATTCGGTGTCCTGCGCATATTTGGATATCTGAACTGTTGTAGGTTGAATGCAGCAATTAACATTCTAGAAGGCATAACTCTAAACCTGTCAATCACACAATTCTTCCAGACTTTAACAACTCAAAATACTTTTATTCTGCCCTTACCTATATAATAAACTCACAATCCACTTCTGGGGGTAATTCACTTTTCCCATTACTCAAGTATTACATTTCACTTTCAGGGGTCCCTTTGTAGGTTTCACTTTTCTTATCCCACTTTTATTTATGGATTTCATCATATGTTGAAAGTATCTTTTAAAATACAGAGCTCTTTTATAGATGGGCAATTGTGAAGCATGCCTTGCTAGTGGTTTGCCTAGGATCTTATTTTCATAGACCTTGCAAGTTGCCTGCTTGCAACCCATTAGGGATTGATAGCAGTCTTTATCTTCTTATATGTTTAGATGTGGACTATATTGAGCTATGTTAATCACCCTCTAATGCCTCCTAATATTTTTGCAAGATATGTATGTCTGTACAAGTAACAATTACACTAAATCAAACCTTGAAAATAGTACCAGTGAAAATGTGAATTACAACAACTGCCTTTCTATTTTCTAAAAACTGTAGAGAATAAAGGATTCCTGCAAATCTTGGTTTTATGTCTGTCCTTAAAGTTCTTATTTTCATTTATATGTATATTTACATGAATGTTATATTTGGATTTTGAGCTTTGGTAAAGTTAATTGGTAACTCTTGGTCTTTTCTCACGGGTACGAATACAGTTTTATACCAGTGTTGATCCAGATTTTTTTTGTTGTCATTCTTTATTTTATTAATGCAGAGTTAAATACACGTATTAGTAATGACACGTAGCATGAAATACGGTAACGAGCGAGATCTGTAAAGTCAAGATGTGCTGCACTTGATCTTTTTAAAAGAGAAATAATAAAATAAACACGGGTGAAGTAATAAGCTAGACATACATGTTTAGACCCAGCTGGTATTGTGAGCTTGCTGGTAAATTAGATTGCTAGACATGAGGATATCCAAGAAATTAAGAAGAAAACATGCAAATCTAAAATACGAAACAAAATAGCTTTGGTGCCATTGAGTACTGTTTATTGTGTAATAAAAGAACAAATATCCTGTACTTATTACAGGCGTGTAGCATGTAACATATAATGGAGCTGATTCTCCGCCACTATGAAATCGGTGTTTTATCCAATGCCACAGGTAGGCCACTGTCACAGTCCACCTCAAAGTCAGGCAAGGTTATTGGTAAGACGTTGTTGCAGTGGCATACTGAGGGGGGAGGGGGAGGGCGGGCGGTCCGCCCCGGGTGCCACCAGGTTGGGGGGTGCCTTCAGGGCTGGCCAGGCCTGTGACTCTGTGAGCTGTGTGGCTGCACAGGGTGCTGGGAGCCACACAGCTCACACACGCAGGGGCTGGGAATTCAGCAGTACAGAAGTACTGCACGGAGAACTGGGGGCGGAGCCAACTCGGCCGTGTAGCGGAGCCAAACCGGATGCGGGGATGGAACTACAGCCAGCCTCCATTTGCTGCCTTTCACTGCAGCACACTGAGGGGAAGCAGGAAGGAGTCCCTGCTTCCCCAACTCCAACACACCAGGGACTCACTGACTCCACTCCTCCACCAGTAAGTAAGATAGAGAGAGAGTGTGTGAGACTGCCTGTGACTATCTGTGACTGTGTGTGTGTGAGTGTCTGCCTGTGACTGTGTGTGTGAATGTCTGTCTCTGACTATCTGTGACTGTGTGTGTGAATGTCTGCCTGTGGCTGTCTACCTGTGACTGCATCTGTGACTGTCTGACTGACTGTCTATGCCTGTGACTGTCTGCCTGTGACAGTTTACCTGGGACTGAGTGTGACTCTCTTCCTGTGACTGTGCGTGAGACTGACTTTTGGGGACTGTGTGTGTGACTGTCTACCTGTGCCTGTATGTATGAATGTCTGCCTGTGCCTGTATGTATGAATGTCTGCCTGTGATTGTCTACTTGGGACTGTGTATGGCTGCCTGTGACTGTGTGTGACTGTCTGCATATCACTGAGTGTGTGTGACTGTGTGCTGCCTGTAACTATGTTACAATCTGCCTGTAATTGTGTGTGTGTCTGTTTGTAACTGTGTGTGTTACTGTCTACCTGCAGCTGTGCATTTGACAGTGTGCAAGTAACTATGTGTTTGGTACGGTGTGCATGTGGCTGTATTTGACAGTATATGCGTATAACTGTGTACATCTGACTGTATCTGACTGTCTTTGCCCTGCAGTGAGACGGCACATAACATCATCCAAGCATCGGCGTCATATTGCAGGATGTGCAAGGGACGTGCATGAAGAGCACCACTGACTACCAGGGACTGAGGATCCACTCTAGCCCTCCAAGAGCAAGGTATGGAGGCTGGGTGGACCTCTTAATTATTAAATGTGTGCATGTATGTGATGTTTGCATGTGTATATCTAATTATGTGTGTTTGTAATTGTATGTGTGTGGGTCTGTGATTGTGTATGTCTGTGTTTATGTTTGTGTATCTCTGTAGTTAAGTGTGTGTGTGTGTGTGTGTGTGTGTGTGTGTGTGTGTGTGTGTGTATATATATATATATATATATATATATATATATATATATATATGCATACGGGTGTGTATCTCTGTAGTTAAGTGTGTGTGTGTATATATATTTTTATATATACACACACAACTACAGAGATACACACACATAAACACAGACATACACAATCACAGACCCACACACATACAAACACACATAATTAGATATACACACGCAAACATCACATACATACACACGTGTGTGTGTATGTATATTTATATATACATACACACACAGACATACACCTATTGTGTTATTGTGTGTGTGTGTGTGTGTATGTGTTTGGTACATAGCTCCCTTATTTGGTGTCCTTAAATATTGCAATCCCACATAAGGATAACAAATAAGGGCGTTATCTACTAAACGACTGAAATTAAGAAACAAAGATTGACGTTAAGAGGTGTCCGCTAGCCCACGAACAAGAAATCTGGGCGGCTAATGTGAATTATATGCAAATTTGTTGACTGATGCCAATGTGCACTGCATGCTGGCATCAGGCAGCCAATGGCAGCACATTACCCCATCCCCTAGTGAAAAGTTTTAGTGCCCCCCCCGGTTTGGATTGTGGTATCTTATGTGCCCAACCCCTATATATTGATCCTATGTGTCTATCTGCATGTGTGTCAGTGTGTACTTAGGTGTGTGTATGTGTATATGTGCATACATCTCAGAATCTCGCCAACACTACTCACAAATACACCCCTGCATTTCAACGTCAACACTACATACAAACTCCACCATTATATATAACCACACCACTACCTTCAAAAACCACACTACATAAAAATGCATGCCTGCATTCAAACGCCAACACCACATACAGACACACATCCTACATTCACTCAAACATACTCCGTACATAAACATGCTTACATTTAAAAGCATAAACACTGCTTAGTGCTAAATACATTTTTTTTTTTTTTTTAATTGTGGTTGTTTTTTCACATTTTAAAGTTGGGGGATGGAGGGTGTTTGCCTCACCAGCTCCTGCTATCTGGGGCAATAAAAATAGGATTCCAGACACCAAAACAGCATCAAAATTGCACACAAAGGCCACCAAATAACAGGAGATACTGGGGTGCACGCACAGACACCACCCAAGCGAAAATATAATGAAGGGGCACCAGAAATCACGGTGAGGCCTACCAGCATGGCGGGCGCGGGGAAGTCGGCCGCTTTCCTGCTGTTTCGACCAGCCAGGTACATGACCCAGGGACCTCGTCCAAACACCCCGGACTGGCTGGGGTTATGACGGTCTACCCCCACTCGAACCCCCAGATAGGTGGTAAGACCGCAACACGGACACGTCGCACAGTGGATCCTGGTGAGGCATATAAACTGTCGGAGACCTCCCACACTGCAGCCCTGTGCAGCGCCAGGACAGAAACAGAGCTCCGACTAGCCGCAATTTACAGCTCCTTCATGAAACCTTCCAACCCGGAGACCCAGTCAGAGGGTAAGCTACAAAGCCCAGCTGAGGTGGTCACACGGCGGGATGCAGAAACTCCCACAGGCTCCACACGCATGAGGTGCCATCTCAAGACTAGGCTCCTGGAGCCTCACTAACATCAGCAGCAGGCCAAAATCAGCTTTCGGGGTCAGGGGCGCGACCAAGACAAAGTACCTAAGACTACATCAACATCGACCAGCAATTCGAAACGGGCCCCGTAAGAGCACAGCGCCACCAAATCGTGTGAGGAGAAGGCGGGGCGCAAGGCCAAGAATGGCGGGAACACTAAGCCCCTACACTGAGAACAGCGGCCACTGAGCTACAGAATTAACTCTAGATTCACAGCCGCAAAGCACGTTCCACAACAGCAGAGCCACGGCACCTGCACCCAGAAGTGGACCACTCAAAGCCCCACAGTCTCCCAGCGGGGAGGGACTTGCTATATCAAATAACCCGGTTCCATGGAACGCAGACGCAGGTCACCTATAAGGCCCGGAGTGAGAGAGATAACACCCTGGCATACCTACCTCATACAGCAACACCCAGAGACTCTCCCAAAGTGCCCAGCCGAGGCATTGGCTGATATCGCCATATTACCCTGTGCACATCACCCACATTCTCCAGGACACGTTTACTTATGCTGCCCTTCTATACCTGTGCTGATGATGCCGTTACTTTTATGTTATGTTATCGTTGATTTTCTGTTTGCATGCCTCTATCTACGCACTCCACACTATGTTGGGGTAATCCAGGGGTTCACCTCACTAGTAACATTGCGAAGGCTCACCTCAAAAGCTTTTTTCATAACACACACTTTATGTATATACACCATGCTATTATACTATACCAGACAGTATACTAACTGTGTTGTACTCTTGCCTAAACTAAAGGACAGCCAAGCAAGTTACTATCTAATATCGTGTACCTAGCCTGTTTAACACATGCTACTCTCTTGTAACACACTCTTGCTTCATACCCATACTAAATTACACAGCCGAGTCTCAGATATTTTAAGCTTGTTTAAAAATGAAAAATGTGGAATTACTAATGCCACAGTCAAACCTGTCTACATCTATGTACGCTGTTGTGGCATTTGACATTGATATATACCTACCTGCACAACAAAATAAAGAATACAAAAATAATAATAATCATTTTCTATAGTCCAAGCAGCAGTCATGATTTCCTTCCCTTTATACTAGGGAGCTCAGGGTGAAGTTGCCCTTTTTAAGGTTAGGAGTAGGAGGTGAGGAGACTCGGCTGGGGCCTGGATTTTGTTTAACCTTTTCAATGTCACCTGTCCTGTGAGAGAGGAATGGGTAATTACCAATCTGTGCTGATTGACAATGGGACTATGGAAAAAATAATTTATGGTAAGTAAAATGTACTTTTTCTAAATATTCTTTATATTAAACTTTTTTGTTAGCATTGTATGTTGTTTGTGTGTATATTTCCCTTGCTTGTGCTGTAGCTTAGTCAATTGTAATATTGTCATTGATTTTGTAAAATGTATTGATGCTTTCCGTAATTTTAATTTCCCGGTCAAAGCCCATGCAGCATTATGCTCCCTCCCTACTAATTTGTCATATGTGATATGTGTGGTGCGGTTAAGCAGACTGTGGAGAAGTGGAAAGATGGTCTCCTTTATTAACTTTAATTACTCGCTCAGTAGGTGTGAGTAGGAGGGCTATAACCATTGTAATGCTGCCATGGCTTTGAACGGAAAATGAAAACTGCAGTAAGTTTAAATACATTTTAGATAAAAAAAATATATATATAGTTAAGGCGGAGCCTGGAGTTGTGGGAGGGGTTACCTGGCCTATTTATACCCAGATTTACCTCTACTCAGGGCCGACACCGATCCAGACTTTGCGACCACGTCCGTTTCCGATCTGCCTCAGCGTTGCTCCCATCGAAAAAGTACCACACAGACCTAATCCTGGGAGACTACCATCCTTCATCCGCAGCCAAGTACAACTTCCAGGCTCACGGAGCGTACTCTTCCCCACAGACAAACCGGACATCCACAAACTGCCGCATTCCGCTGCCGCCGCTACTTTATGGCATTGCATTCGTGCAGTGAGTTACAATGGTAACGTGAGTACTCCCGGATCAACGCAGCTCTTCCATGCCACCTTTCAAGTCGCAGTGTCTGGCTCAGTTCCCACCGAGCCCCCCGGCCACCTAACTCCCTCCAGACACACAGCATACTTACTCTCCACCGCTCCTAGTCTCCGCCAGTACTTGCGTCCCGCCGATCTCTGACTCCTGCAGTGTCCGGGTCTCTGTATCCTGCTTCCTAGGCCCAGTCGGTTCCTGGGCATTAGACACATAATTCATTCGGCCATCGAACGGCACTCACAGCTGAATTGACCTAACTCATTTAACTAATAAATACATTCTAGTTGGTGACAGTCATTTACTTTACATTTGGTCCACGATTCGACCAGCTTTCAGCCAATATAGCCACTTGTTACATATTCACATTTCTTGTTCTTTGCATACTGCCCCTCGTGCGGCCAGTTAGGCATTACAGTCTTGTCAATTATACAAATGTTGTAAATTGCTTGATTGTGTCCTTTACTTTGGGGGGAAAAAACTGTTTGATTACTTAGCTAAGTTCAGTCAACCTTGCAGTGACATTTATATCTATAAAGCAAGTTTCCTTAATTAACTTTACCAAATTAGCATTTTCTCTGGTTTCATATATGTATATGTCAATTTATATCCCAATTAGGCGTGTTCCTCTCCTAAACAATGTGCTATTTCTCCTCCTATACCTACATATTGCTCGTTATTATACGACATTACAATATTAATGCTTTACATATATGCTTAGTATGGCCGTTGCATTCCAGGGTTTTAAACCTCGGCTTTGTTAAATTTTGGTTGCACGTGGGAATGTATTGTATACAATTCTACATTACTATGGGCATTCTCTCATGTTCACTGGTTCATACACTGATTCACACTTATTTAGTTACTCAACAGGTACCAACTTCAGCCCCTCCTTTGGGGCATTAAGTTCAATTACCATTCTGCTTACATGGGTATGCGTAAGCTGCTTGTGTCACACATCTGAACAGCTGCCACTGAACCCACATCCTATAATTATTACATCTACTAAGTCACATACTACCTACATGTGGCCATCTTTCCATTCAAGTATTACTATGGACTTAGTCTTTGACTGTATACTTAAGTCACAGCCCTCCCTAGGCCTTCAAAACATACTCTTTGTATGGCCATCAGGGCGCTTACCACTACCACCTTCAGCCCCATCGTTTAGGCACTGCATATGGATGCCGTGTTCAGAGTACACCATCCGATCACGCGGCCACACCAGCCCTACAGCCTACACCCAGGGCATTCCAGAGGGACCAAATTCCTTCATTATGTACGTCTATCCATCCCCATTTTTATGCCACTTAAGCTCGGAAAATAATAATACATTATGTGCAACCATGTCACGTACCAAAATGTTGCAAGTTGTTCAAAAAATAAAGTTGCCTGGTCACAGCCTACAGACAACCCACCATTATATTATACAGTTTTATTCTGGTCTATCCCTCCACTACTCCCAAGGGACCAGCTCATATACCAGTGATCGTATACCGTCCAACCACTGTTCCCAGGCCATTTTCACTGCTCCTACATCCTTAGCATGATTGATCGACATTAGTCATGCACGATCGATACATCTATTGCAGCCTGTTACACAGCTGGTCAGCTCTTAAGTCAGTTGCAGCCTACAAGGGTTAACTACAACTCTATCATGCTTTGGTCAACTATTACTCACTACCTCCCTCCATTTGTTCCAAACTGCCTCTGCAGGCTACTCACTACATCTTAATTACAGCTCCTCGAATGGGCTATTGCCTGTGACATAATCTCTACATTTGGCACTCAACCTTCAGTAATACTTCTATACGCTGCCCTCACTAGGCAGTCACTACCTACATTACGTACGGCCCTCTGCGGGCTATTCACTGTGACACGATTCCGGACGTTCACTTGGTCTATTACATACGACTGTGGCCCTTTTAGGCCCAATCAATTTCTCGTACGAGCCTCCCTCTGCATTTATAAGTCCAGTCGCAGGCGCTAAATGAATCTCTGATATTCATTTTCTCATAGTAAACTAGAGACGTTGTTTAAATGCATACTTCAGGTCCTTTAAAAAAATATATAATTTCTCTCACGCCATCAAACAAATTCTCACTTAAATATGCCACAGTGGACAACGCCGTAGGAGCAATCTTGAAAGCTGGGTATGGAGCTTGGCTTGGCCAATTTCAACAGGGTCACGGCAGAGCACCACATTAATGACACCTTCTCCATGGACAGGATAGCAACATTCAATCCCCACTCCTATTTACGCCAGAAAATGGCACACGACACAATTAATTTATATCTGCCGGGAGTATGACACTATTTGCTCAGCTCATTCCCCAAACACAGACCGTTCATGTCATCCTACCTGTGTTCTCGAAGGTTCACAGTGAGCTGACGACCCCACTGATGCTAGAAGATGGCCAATAGATGGACAGAAATGAATGCACTATCAGACTTTCTAGACACCAGCCCATCTGAACCCAGTCTGACCATTACAATCAAGCGGCCATGCACATAACATTCTATGGGTTCCTACGCCCTAACGAACTACGATAGGAAGACTATCTGGTACTCCGGTTTACCTTAGCATAATGGACCTACACAAGCAGGGAGTCCATTACGTACTACAACTATGATGTTCCGAGACATACTAGATGGGCCCCCGATAGAGATCCACGACAAATGGTGTCCGGTGGTAGTGTTGGATACTTTTTACGTCTCTCTTACAGAGCAACAGAGCTAAACACCACATTTCACATTACACAACAAACCACTCACTACCGCTAAATTCATGTACTACATGAGGTCCCTGGCTAATAGATTAGGCTATGATCCATTGACCATCACAGGTCACTCCCTTAAGATCGGCGCCGCATCTGCCGCTTCCAGTAGAAATGTGCCGGCAAACATAATCAAAGAATTAGGTTGGTGGAAATCAGCAGTTTATAGCAAGTACATTCCACAACCTGATAGAGAACTCAGGAAAGCCTTTAAAGAATTGGTTATGTAACTAATCCATAACATATGCCTGACCATGCCATAACCCCACCGCCACCATAGGCCACTCAATCCACAACGTGGACATCAGCAAACCGCTCACGATGCCATACACGCTGTCTGCCATCTGCCCTGTACAGTGAAAACCGGTATTCATCCGTGAAGAGAACACCTCTCCAAAGTGCCAGATGCCATTAAATGTGAACTTTTGCCCATTCAAGTCGGTTACGACGACAAACTGCAGTCTGGTCAAGACCCCGATGAGGATGAAGAGCATGCAGATGAGCTTCCATGAGATGGTTTCTGACAGTTTGTGCAGAAATTCTTTGGCTATTCAAACTGATTGTTGCAGCAGCTGTCCGGGTGGCTGGTCTCAGACTATCTTGGAGGTGAAGATGGTGGATGTGGAGGACCAGGGCTGGTGTGGTTACAAGTGGTCTGCAGTTGTGAGGCCGGTTGGATGTACTGCCAATTTCTCTGAAATGCTTTTTGAGACTGCTTATGAGAATGAAAATGAACATTCAATTCACGGGTTGACATTCTTTCAGTCAGCATGTGTCACGGCCCCCGACTGGTGCGACCGTGCCGACGAACTGAGCTTACCTGCTCAGCGGCAAGTCGGGAGCCCGCTACTTCTATTGCACTAGTTGTGTAATACAGTAAAGTGTTGAATGACCACATGCAGAGAGAAACCACCCAACCCCCCCCCGAAATACCCCCCAAGTACACCAGACTAGCCACACACCCACAACCTGTAACGTACTAACCTAATATGAAACCGAAAACCTAAGGGCCTATTGCCAAGGCCTATGACAGGATATTAAAAGTGATGAATAGACCTGCTGAAACAAAACCGTACAAAAACATTTGTACAACTGCAATGAACAGTTTTCTACAATAACATATATGTGAATAGCTATTTCAAAGCTGACAGCATAGTATAATGGGAAATCGTGTCACCGTTCATGGGAGAGTAAGGAAGAATGCCACTCCTTCATTGTTCTCCTGGCCGTCTGCCCGGATTAAAGATGGTGCCGACCACGCGGCTCCGCCCATATATAGCACCAAAAGGAGGCTGTGATTCATAGGTTATTGTCCTGTCGTGGCTTCCGTTCCTGGTTCCCGAGAGTGCGTTTTCTTGTCCTGTTTTTGTTATTCCCGGTATTTTGACCATGGCTATTCCTGACTATTCTTATTTCTGGTTTCCCTGACTTAATTTGTTGAATGTTATTGTATATTTCTGGCTTCCTTGACCTCAGCTATCCCTTGACCATTCTCTGTCTTTAACGTATTAGTCCAGCCATTCTAAGGACCGGTTTACGTTCTATCATTTTCTGTTCTGTATATGTAGATGTTGCATAGTTTTGCGTGCTGGACCACACTTGCAGTCGCGACAGCATGCCAATTACACGCTCCCTCAAAACTTGCGACATCTGTGGTATTGTGCTGTGTGATAAAACTGCACATTTTAGAGTGGCCTTTTATTGTGGCCAGCCTAAGGCACACCTGTGCAATAATCATGCTGTCTAATCAGCATCTTGATATGCCGCACCTGTGAGGTGGATGGATTATCTCGACAAAGAAGAAGTGCTCACTAACACAGGTTTAGACAGATTTGTGAACAATATTTGATAGAAATAGGCCTTTTGTTTACATTGAAAAAGTCTAAGATCTTTTAGTTCAGCTCATGAAAAATGAGGGCAAAAACAAAAGTGTTGCATTTATAATTTTGTTCAGTTTATATCCGTTGATCCTGTAGCCGCTGTTCTGGGGTTGGGAGGGACTCTCTCTGGAGAACCTGAACTTCCTTGAGTACCTCGTTCCAGTGTTCCTTTTGGATCTGGTCCCTAAAATCAAGGGACTGTGTACTCATACTGGGACAGAGCTTCCTGTAACTCCTCCTCTGATGGGGAAGCTGCATGGGTGCAGGCTCTATCCATCTAGCTGAGTTCCAGATGATGTGCAGGGATCCCAATTGTGTCTTGGATGCTTCCACAATAGCTAGAAAACCATCCCACCGCTGCCACCAGATGTGACGGAGCTCCTGTACTCTAATTGAGTACCTCCGCCCAATCCGCCTCCTAGCCGTTGGGGAGGGAGCCTGGAACGCTTTAACCCCAGTCGCCAAGACTTGACTGGGGTTTCTCTGGAGCTTTTCCACCCGACCAGGTTGCAGCTCTCCTTCCAGGCAGGTATTGTCCCCTCTGCTTATTCCGCTGAAGCTTTTCTTTCAGTCAGGTATCCACCTCTGCCTGGATGTGATTTTAATGCCTTTACAAAGGCACTTGTGGCTCTCAGGCCTAGCTCTCTTGATTTATCCCAGGGCTAGAGGGATTGTGCTGCAAGCCAACAGGTCCAAAGACTCTTTAACTCGGATCTGTAAAAATCCACACAGGGCACAAGTTTCAAGAAGAACTAACATTCAAAGCTTTATTTTTACTTGGAACTAGCCCTTAGGATCATAAAGTTTACGGTGACACACTCAAATAAATACATAAAACCAAATCATGTGAAGAAACTTACAGGCACTCATAATTCCACATAAACATAATAATAAAGAGGTGGGGAAGACCATAACTAACATGACATATCTCTCCTGCCTAAAGAAACCATAATATGCAAATAAACAAACCTTGCTATAGTGCATTTTGCTGTTGCTAGCAACAGGTGCCACTGTACAGGCTCCACAGCCAAATCCACCTACATGGTAGCAGACATCAGCAGGACAGGAGAGCACACAAAACATATAACAATAAAACAACAATGCACACCCTGCACCTATAATGGGCACAGGGTGACTTAGACATAGGCGTAGCCCAGGATCCTAGATAAAGTGTCCATATGAAACTCCAGCTGATGGTGACTACCGTCACAAGTGTGATGCACACCAATTAGGCAACTAGGGTCTGCCAGTGAAGCAGGGACCCCTCAATCTGAGGTGAACGTCCAATTAGACCCTGAGCAAAGACAGATACATAAATACTGCACAATATCGTCACTTGAAGTCTCTTCGTGTTTAGGTGCCAGACAAAGTAATGGAGAAAAGGATATCTACGTATTTGACTTAAGTGACCCAAACTACTACAATGATATATATTTTTACTGGTCCAAAAATGAACATTGACAACCCCCTGTCCCAACTGACTCCCTCATCCATAATACCGTAAAGCATTATACAGTAGCAAGACACACACAACAATATAACCAACTACAAAAAAAATTCACCTCCTAGTGAATGTGTATATCCCCAGTGGAGGAATTGGGCCACTAAACCATTTGTGTGCTGTAGGAGACGAAAATACATTTTGTGATATATATCATGTAGGTAATATCCCACTACTTCTGTTGCACTAGTTATGTAATACAGTAAAGTGTACTAAGTAGTAAAGTGTTGAATGACCACATGCAGAGAGAAACCCCACCGAAACACTCCCCCAAGTACACCAGCCTAGCCACACACCCACCGCCTGTAACGTACTAACCTGATATGAAACCCAAAACCTAAGGGCCTATTGCCAAGGTCTATGACAGGATATTAAAAGTGATGAATAGACCTGCTGAAAAAAAACCATAAAAAAAAATGTGTACAACTGCAATGAACAGTTTTCTACAACAACATATATGCGAATAGCTATTTCAAAGTTGACAGCATTGTATAATGGGATATCGTGTCACCGTTCACTGGAGAGTAAGGAAGAATGCCACTCCTGCATGGTGTCCCAACTGCCCCATGACCCGCATCCCCCTTCCAACCAGAGGCACATGAGAACCCACCCAGTAAAGCCTGCAATTGCTGGATTCCCCCAACCCACATTTCAGAGAAAAGAAGGGCCTGTAGGGTCAATCCAGACCCAGCAACAAGTTCCTAAGGCAGGCCTCAGATCCACATGATTGGGAGTGCGGAAATCCAACACCAAGCAGCAAGGACCAGATCTCATAGGAACGCCCACCCACAGCAAACAAGTGGTGGTCCCATGATTTCCCTAGATCCAGAAGAGAGTCCCAGTAGACTCCTGCGCCTCTCATCACCCTCTCCAAACCAGAGAGCTACCCCTGCAATCACCATGATATCTTAAAGGGACACTCTAGTCACAAGAATAACTACAGCCTATTGTATTTGTTCTGGTGAGTATAATAATTACCTCAAGGGTTTTTGCAGTAAACCCTGTTTGTTTTTTCAGAGAAAAGGCAGTGTTTACTATACAGCCGCTCCTCAGATGGCTACTAGAGGTGCTTCCTGGGGCATGCTGCATACCCTCTGCATGGAGATACTTTCCTGCTAGAGATGCGTTGACTCAATGCATCTCTATGAGGAGATGCTGATTGGCCAGGGCTGTTTTTGGATTGTGCTGGCTCTGACCCTGACCTACCTTCTTGACAAGCTCAGTCAATCCAACTTTTAGAACTTGTACTTAGTTGTACCTAATAAAAATATCAACCTGAAGCAGGTGGTATTGAGTGAGAAGAGTGGTAGTTTCCAACAGATGGTATTGTGTTAGAAGACAGGAGGATCATTTCTGACAGGTGGTATTTGGACAGAAGGGAAAGAAGATGTTTTCAGATATTTGATTTTGGATCTGAAAAATCAGGTCTTTTCCAACAGGTGCATTGAGTCAGAAGAAAACACATCCTTTTCAGACAGGTGACACTGGGTTGGAAGAAAAGAGGTCCTCCAACAGTTAATATTGGGACAGAAAGAAAGCTTTCTTCAGATATATGATACTGAGTCAGATGAGGTCTTCTTCAGACAGGTGGCATTGGGTTAAAATGATGTTGTAATACATGTTCTTATAAAGTAAAAAGTATTGTAAAATATCTTAAAAGATTATGCAGCCCACTGTAACTGTATATTGTACATTAATGCTATACACAGACACATGGCATAGATTATATGTGATCCCCATCACCATGTTATCTGCTTTGCTTCCTGTCCCAAATGCCTGCCAACATTAATTAAGGCAATCACACTATTATTGCAGACAGGAAGGATCAGAACGAAATGATTTGTATCACTGCCCTCCATCTACACAATAGTTAAGACTTTTAGAGTGTGTGTATACCCCCTCTATTTTGGCAGTCACCCCGAGATTGTTGTGAGGAGTCTGGCCAGTTTGTGAACTGAGTAATCACAACCATCTGTTTCTGACTGAGGCCCCATTTACATTGCTTAACATACTCTGAAAATGAAGTGTTCATTTTTTACATTCCTCCTGCAAATGGTTTAATGTTAAATCACAGAAGAGAGTTAAACTAAACCAGGTGCACACTCACTCCTCACTCCAGTGTGCAAGGGCGCAAGCAAGAGCTCTCATCCTGCTCAGTTACATCACTAGGAGCCCTGAAAATTCTGAGATATGCTGAAATTAAGGTGGGTGCTGTTCATTACACTTTCTTTATATCCCTTTTTCTTTCTTTCTTTTTCTTTTTTTTTCTGCATTTTGCTTTGAGAAATAAAGGCAAATTCCTAGGGATATCTTATCAACAGATACAAGTGCTGTCTTTCTATAAAACAGGTGTGATATTGAAGATATTCTATGAACAGTTTCTTCTTTTTCACTATTAGTGTTTAGTTAATTAGTTTTATTTTGATTATGAACACAAGAAAGGGTCTACAATACAAAATGCAATATTTTTTTTATGATTCTAGTTATTCACATATACGTTAATGGATAATCTTTTTTTTTCTGATCTGCAAATAATGTTTTGTTTTTTAATATAACTTTTTACATTTTTTATACAGATTCATACTTTTATATAGCTCCCTGTACACGATATATGTAGATATAATATATAATGATATATTATTCTCAGCAGAAATCCAAAATACAGATTTTTCTAGTGTAATTGATATGACATTTGATATGATCATTTAAAAGAAAGTTTAAAAAAAAATTCTTTGTAAATCTGTCATTCCTATTATCGTTATAGAGATTTTTTTGCAACTGTATAATATTACTCCATAACTCAATACACAGTATTTGTTCATCACCATTTCTTTTAAACTATCCACTGGCAAAAACAACATGTTTTAACACATTATCCCCAGGTATTATAGTGGCAGGATTTTGAGAAATCATTGAGCGAATATAATTGCGTTTCATATTAATAAGAACAATTATCTGTCATTGGTAATAAAAGTTGAATAACCAGCGCTAGTTGTTAGCACCTGCTGATTCCCTAGATATTTGTTTGTGTTTGTGCCATGCTTAGCAAGATAAATACTGAACCGTTCTGTAATAAAATGGCAAAACAATGCTGTAACTATAGCAACCAGCGAAAATATTTCTGCAGAACAACAATTTGCTCCCCGTTTGTATTCCCCAGTACGGCGTGTGGCTACCAAGTCTCTAAGGAAATACACAACCCATTGGGTTGAGTTTAAATTTTGCCATTGTTAAATTTTGACTTTGTGGTTCAACTGACTTGTATATCTTCTGTGTTCTAATGCTGGAATATACGTAAGCAACCCATGTCTTGTCCATCGGACAATACCAAAGGGTTAAAAATCAGTAATATAGCGTTTGGGATATGGACCAAGAATTTGATTCTCTGAATGAACACGTTTAGTCTTCGATAACTACGATTCGCTTCTTTAACTCCTATAAAGACAATGTAATATATTCAGGAATGTTTGGGCCAGGAAGTGCTGGTCTTTTGGGATACATAGAGTCCAAATCATTTCATTCCGAACCTTGGCTTTGGAGGAGGAAGTGAAATTTTAACTCTGTTTATATAAAGAGCAAAATGCAATCTACTGCATGGAACTGTGTGTATGATTTTCCCTGTGTACTACAGATTCAATTCAATGAGAAAGCTCTGCCCTTTAACTGGATATAGTAAATAAAATATTATTTAGAGAAGGCTGGATGATAAATCTGTTATCACTTTCAGTAAACATGTGTTTGGTCTCCAGCAATGGTAGATACATTGGCATGACTGTCAAGCTTTTCAAACACTTTATGTAATGTGTATATGATTTATAAACACACTGTCTTAGTATCAAGCGGTTTAATATGAATGAGGTAAATGCACACTGGGGGCAGGGATTTTACCACGCAAAATGGAGTGTTGAGAGACAAATAGTCTGGATAGAGTATATTTATTCAACGATTCTTAGAAAGCATGGGTAATGGCTACAGTCTGTGATCTAATCCTGGTAAATAGGCACGTGGCATTTATTTAATACCAAAGACATTGTGTAATCATTTGTTTTCTCAAGTATACTGTGTGCCAGTATTCTAGTTCTGTATATACGAAAACCAGTCTTCAAATTCTGGGTATAGAACGTGGCTTCTGATTCAATTCTTGGTTCACTGTGAGCCAGTGATCTAAAATTAGATACATTTACGGGTATACTGGGCGACCATGATCTAATCCTAGGTATGACATGTGCCAATGATCTAATTCTAGATAAACAGCCATGTGTCAATGATCTAATCTTGGGATACTATATGGCGATGACCTGTTGCCGGTATACTGGGTTAAAATGATATAATCCTAGGTATGTCTTGTGCCAGTGATCTAATCTTGGGTTCCATACCATATTGCAAATACATTCCAGGTATGTTGAGTGTCAATGCTCTTACTGCATTCATACAGTGTGCAAAATGTTTTCATTCTATATTAAAAACTGTGCCAGTGGCTTAACCCAAGGTATACTGTGTACCTCTAGTCTAGCCATGGGTATATGATGTGCCAAATAGTTGATTCTAGATAACCAGCCATGTGCCAGCCCTCTGCTCCTGGGTATACAGTGTTCCAATAATTTGATTGCAAGTATGCTGTGTACCAAATCCTGGGTATACAATGTGCCAATATTCAAAGTGTCACTTATATAATTTACTTTATAATATATACTTTGTGCCAATTACCCTTTACACTTCGTGCCAGCGGTGTAATCCAAGATAGTCAGTCAAGTGCTGGCGATCTAATTCTGTGTATATATATATTGTGCCAGTGATCTAATCGAAGGTATACTGTCTGTGCCATGTGTCAGTCCATTACTGATATAAATCCATGCATGCTGTGTCTGTGATCATAACCAGCCATATGCCGGATAATAATTTGCATACCTCGTGTCTTTGCCTATTATCCAGTGCTTGTTGTAAATTGTTTACTAGTTTACCACTCTCTTCAGTCAACACTATTGTACCCTCTAATTTATCCCTCCGCATTGATGCTTGTTGTGTCAATTTTCCAAATGAAATAGTGAAGTTAAAGACAAAAAGAACAAACCCTTTGAATTAATATTTTCCACTTCAATCAATGCTAGTTTATGTATTAACAAAAGTATTACAAAGTCTGTACAAAATGATCGCCTGCTGGCAAAATGCAATGTAACATGCCTCTTGTTGGCTAAGCAATATCTAGTTTTAGTGACTAAATACAGACAATTGTTGAAATGGTTGAAACTGGCTTCTATGATTCTGATACCAATGAGAGCACTTCATAAAAGAATTAGCTTTGTATTACTGTCATACTAAAGAATATCCATGAGAGAGCCCCTAAAATATTCATATTTCCTCTATCGTTACTATGAATATGCTACATTAGCACCAAAACATGCGCCAGATAAGGTATAGTCCGATTTAATGGAGATTAAGACGATATTGGGTTCCACTAGAATCTTAAGTTGGGTCTGTAAGCCATGTAAGACTCTTAAAGGACCACTATAGTGCCAGGAAAACATACTCGTTTTCCTGGCACTATAGTGCCCTGAGGGTGCCCCCACCCTCAGGGTCCCCTTCCCGCCGGGCTGGATGGACAGGAAGGGGTTAAACTTATCTCTTTCTCCAGTGCCGGGCGGGGATCTCTCCTCCTCTTCGGCTGAATGCGCATTCACAATGCTTTCCTATGAACGCTGGCGTCTTCTCAATGTGAAAATCACAGTGAGAAGCGCAGAAGCCCTCTAGCGGCTGTCAATGAGACAGCCACTAGAGGCTGGATTAACCCATTTATAAACATAGCAGTTTCTCTGAAACTGCTATGTTTATAGAAAAAAGGGTTAAACCTAGCTGGACCTGGCACCCAGACCACTTCATTAAGCTGAAGTGGTCTGGGTGCCTATAGTGGTCCTTTAAGGCTGGATCTCATCAGGCTGCTAGTTTACCTTAATAGCACTATTAGAATTTTAGGGTGCTTAGCACCAATATTATTTATCCTTAGGTCAATTCATTCTACATAAATGTTTTACGGCTAGGCCCTGGATGGAACTAATCAAGCGTGATAAGCAACCATAGGCACTCCAGATGTTGTGGACTACATCTCCCATAATGTTTTTACATCTATAATGCCTGCAAAGCTTTAGGGGGAATGTAGTTCACAACATCTGGAATGCCCAAGGTTGCCTACCATTGAATTAGTGCTGTCCTACTGACAGGCACAAGACTGAATCTAGCCTGCCTCTGTGCCTCTTACAATTTTTGCTCTTATGGTTGTTGTGTAAATGCATCCACATTCAAGCCATCCCAAACTCATCTTAACTATGAGCTTACACTGATTCTCCTATCATTAGCAGGTGAACAGTCAACCTCTGCCATTTTCCTTGCTTCTGTCTTTTCTTTTCTAAATTGTCTCTCTGCTTCTTTTACAATAGCAAGCAAAGTTACAATAAATTGACAGTCCCCCTAACACATTGAACGACCCTGGTCAGCCAACTCTGAACTTCCTTCCTTTAACATATCTTCCTCTTCCTTCATCGTAACTTGCATCCAATTTATTAAACAGTCTGAAAACTCATTGACATTGTCTTTCCCTAAGCATGTTCACAACTAACTTTACACTGTCATACTCTGAAAGATGTTTATGTAGTATGGTGGGTGTCCTCTTTACTCACAAAACCATTTAGACTTCTGTGCTTCAAGACCAACATTCCTTGCTCTACTTTATACTCCTTGACCTTTCCATCACCCTTGATAAATTTGGGTGGCTAAAATTTGGCTATCTTCGTTTTGCACTCATATGGCGGTCGTTCAATCTTCCTAAATTTTCATACACAGTGTCTTTCACCGTTAATCCACCCTGCTCGGCCCTCATCATGTGAGTGTACCACAAGGTTCTGCTTCAGGAAGCCTTGGGAGGCTAATGCGATTGTGCGATAAATTGCTGGGCTACACCAATCAGCATCTCCTCATATAGATGATTCAATCAGTCCATCTCTATGGGCAGCATTCAGCATCTGCATGAATATCTCTGAGCTGCTCAATGTTGGTCCTGCGATCTTTGCAGGACCGACACAGGAAGTCCCTCTAGTGGCTGTCAGAGTAACTGAGAGGGCCTCAGAAAAGGCAGAATTTATGTAGCCCTTTTCTCCCCCACTCCAGTCCAGCAATTTAAAATGACTGACAGATCATGATTTCGGTCCAAGTAAACAGGCCAACAATTGCCAGTTCTAGAGTATTCACTGTAATATTTTGGACCCTGGCATCATATATGTAGATGTGGCCTGGAGCTGTACCTAATTACATTATTAGAACATCAAGTCGACCAATTATTGATGCAACTGGTGTTTGACCTTCAGTCAAAATCTAGAGTACACATTTCCAAAGCTTTAAATACATGAAAAGCCTTGAGATTGATAATTAACAGAGAGAAAAGAAGTCTGTTTTTTCCTTTCAATTTTTTTCCACAAATTAGTGAATCATTTCTGAGCTTGATTCCTGTACCAGAAAGTAACGTAGAGAGCCAAGTAAAATATTATATTAGCACAGACCTGGCAGATGCACTCCCATACCTTTCATTACTGGAAGTGAAGCCAGCTGTACTATGCTCTCCAGGAAATAGTTAATTAGAGTATCAAAGGATCAATGTATATCCCAGGGATCCCCAAAAATACTTAGTGTTTATTTGTATGGAATGTAAGGGGCTTTATATACGAGATTGAGAATTACCAATAGGATTGCAAATTTTAAGCCATAATATCCAAATTGGAAATATTCTCAAAATGTTATATTTTTGTCTAAAATCTCTAATCCCCTCAAAGGTTCTCTACAATTCCCAGGTTTGTAAGTAAACTCCAAGGGTTTGATTTCCTAAATAGTGAATTGTGGTCAATTGAAAAGTAAATATAAAGTTCCATCTTGTGAAATCCGTTATCTCTAAAACTTCGATCATTATAACCATCAGCAGAATGTTGAGATCAGTGCTTTAGAGACGCATGTTTCTTGTGCATTCACTGCCACCATGGACGGCCTGCATCTGTTCTGCATGTTAACCTATCATCACTTAATAAACACCTTCAGAACAGGGCCGTTGTAAGAATTTTTGCCTCCCTAGGGAAAAAAAAATTGGCCCCCCAATTTGTTCCACCCACTCATGCAGACACACACTGACCCATGCACACACTGACCCATGCACACACATATAGACATGCACAAACACAAATTCTTCACAAATACATATTGTGATGTCCCATTGACCCACTTACCTTTCTTCATCTTTGACTGCTTTTCATGTGTTCCTAGCAGCTACCCCGCCCCTGGCCGCTTTCACTTCATCTCAGCCCTGCCCCTGCTATGCTCCCGTCCACTTGTCCCCACGTACAGGGCAAGGGGCGGGAGCAAGAAATTGAAGCGCCTTTGCGCTGTTGCGTCAATGGGAGTTCTTGTGGAGGGTCTGGCTGAGCAGGCTGTTGTGGATGCCACCGGACCAGTGTTACACCAGGCGCTAGTAAGCAGCCATGTAAGTGCTCCGTAACGCCCGGTAACATGGCCGGCGGCACGATTTGTATAAATATTCAAACACAGAGGAGCAGCCAAACGGGCAGAGCAGGAAAACTCCTGCTGGCGCCCCCCTTTAAGCAGCACCCTAGGCGGCCGCCTAGTTAGCCTGTAGGAAGCGCAGCCCTGCTTCAGAAGCAACATACACACGCCTTCCGACAGTCGGAGGTACGAAAACAGAATGGGTCAGTAGGTGGACCAGAAGGGTGGGTCCAAATGTTTAAGGGTTCATTGTGGAAGTGTGCAGGACACCAGAATAATGGTCGTGCACGCACAACAAGGTGACAGATGAGTACTCTGACCAGTCCAACTCAGGACAGACCATGTGGAGAGAACTCCTGAAGGACTAGTTAGAGCCCATTTAATGATACATTTTTGTTTGGCTAATTTAAGGACATTTGTCGTGTTCCCAGATGCAAGATACTAGAGAACAGACCCAGGGTGACAGGACAGAATGTGGTGGTTTTGATGTGTAAAGATATCATCCCTTATAGTCTGACAGACAGGTCAGGTCTGACTCACTCTTTCAGTACTGTGCTAACAGACATCCCAATGCAGAAAAAAAGGTGTATAAATGGTGCTAAAACAAGACAATAGATATATCCCAGTGCGTCTCAAACCACACAAGTGTTATGTCACCTTAAACACTTACATACATAAAGTTTGGATACAAAAGAGAGAGGTTGGCGCACACGATGGATAACTTTGTGAAAATCTGTAATAAATATAACAGAACCTTCATAGGGCAACATATCCCTATCGTCTTATATATGTTGCCCCATGAAGGTTCTGTTATATTTATTACAGATTTTCACAAAGTTATCCATCGTGTGCGCCAACCTCTCTCTTTTGTATCCAGACATCCCAATGCACCTACTGCTTTTTTAATCCACATCATGCTGGGGTTGGTCCAGGTTCTCTTCCCTCCTATCTCTTTACACAAGTAGATAGTTGGGTGCTAGATTTCGCCTCTGATGAGACATACTCTGATGGTTGCCTTTAGGGTGAGGACACCCAATAGGCCTATCAAGCCTGTGAGCCCTGAGTTAGATGCACCACCTGCACCGCCAGTAGCTCGATGCTACACACAAATTCAGAAAAAACACCTTTGTTAGACTTTTTGCTTTGAGTCTCTGGGAATGTCAGTGTCACAATGAGCAGTATAAAAAAACAACAACTTGTATATTGTTTATATAAAAATAAATTATATGTATATGTGTATATATATATATATATATATATATATATATATATATATAATATTTTTAACTGCTTCTTCTATTTTCTATACCATTGGTTGCTTTTCTCATTGATCTGTGAACCAAATTGCAGGAAAAGGTGTGTAATATTTATATTATGTATTTACTTTGCAGTAGAATGTCCAATTTTCCCACCATTGTCTCAACTTATCTCTATAGGGAGCATATCATGTCTCCATTTAGAGCATGGAGACATTAAACAGCAGTGCTCCACACTGTGCAGCACTGCCCCAGGAAGCATCTCTACTGGCCATCTGCGGGAAAAAAAATTCAAAATGAGCTGGCATGGAAACCAACCCACAATGCAGAACACACAGTAAAAGGCATGCAAACGATGAAGCTCAGCTCCCTACCTTTCCACCGCTTGAGAAATGCACCAAAAAAGTTCCAAAAAGTCCCAAAACCACTGCAAAAATTTTCCAGAATGGCTTCAAAACTCGATGCAAAAGCTGCTCCAACACCTCCACACTCGACGCCACGTGCTACCCACATGCACCGGGGCGATGCTATAAATCTCCCAGGTGCAATGCATCCTGGGTAAACTTGCTTTGTATTGCGAAAAATTTTTGTAAACCGAGGCATTATTTCAAATGGATTTTCATTTGTAAACCGAAAATTATGTTAACCGAGGCATTTGTAAACCGAGGTACCAGTGTACATTAGTTGTTCTGGTGACTATAGTGTCCCTTTAATTTTTGGAATATGTGTATTGGCTGAACCAGATTTTTTTCACCATGCCTAGTGACATTTTTGTAAAGGAAGAAAAAAAATGGGTCCTGTTTTTAGGTTTAAAATAATAAGTTGGACAAAAAAAGTCAGGATGTGTAATGATGGCAAAACTGATATTAAATAACGAATTCAACTATTTTAAAGAGATTTTGCACCAGAAATTGTTTAGTAAATAGCCAAGCTTACCTCTTTTTTCCACGATGCCGTTTTTTTAATTCTATGTACAGGTGATATTTGAAAAATTGCAAAAGTTCATTTAATGCAACGTAAAAGGGGAAACTAATATATGAGATAGACGCATTACATGCAAAGCAAGATAGTTCAAGCCGTGATTTGTCATATGTGTGATGATTATGGCTTACAACTCATGAAAACCCTAAATCCACAATCTCAGTAAATTAGAATATTGTGAAAAGGTGCAATATTCTAGGCTCACAGTGTCCCACTCTAATCATCTAAGTAAGCCATAACACCTGCAAAGGGTTTCTGAGCCTTTAAATGGTCTCTCTTTAAATGGTTCAGTAGGAATCACAATCATGGGGAAGACTGCTGACCTGACAGTTGTGCAGAAAACTATAATTGACACCCTCCATAAGGAGGGAAAGCCTCAAAAGGTAATTGCAAAGGAAGTTGGATGTTCCCAAAGTGCTGTATCAAAGCATATTAATAGAAAGTTATGTGGAGGGGAAAAGTGTGGAAGAAAAAGGTGCACAAGCAGCAGGGATGACCACAGCCTGGAGAGTGTTGTAAGGAAAAGGCCATTCAAATCTTTTGGGGACTTTCACAAGGAGTGGACTGAGGCTGGAGTCAGTGCATCAAGAGCCACCACACACAGACGGATCCTGGACATGGGCTTCAGATGTCGTATTCCTCTTATCAAGCCGCTCCTGAACAACAAACAACGTCAGAAGCGTCTTACCTGGGCTAAAGAAAAACAGACGTGGTCTGTTGCTCAGTGGTCCAAAGTCCTCTTTTCTGATGAGAGCAACTTTTGTATCTCATTTGCAAACCAACAACAACAAAAAAAACACCATAAAATATAATTAAAAAAAAAACAAGAACTGGAAATTTGATGACCGGTGTCCTTTAACCTCACGGTAGTTTACACCCCTGAGATGTTTTAGTTGGCAGATCGTGTGAGAATGTATACTGGTTATAAGGGATAATGGCAACTCCCTATCTGCATTTAGTATTATGATAAACAATGTAAAATTGAAAGATTTGTGTACAGGACCCTGTCTGAAACATTGTATTTAATACATGGCTTTGTTTTGTTACTTGGCATAGACTCCGAGGCCTCTTATTTCACAGGCTTCCATGATGTTGGCATATAGTGTGTTGTCTTTGTGCCCAAGGAGTGCCAGGCAGGTTTCCTGTCTGAAGTCATGCTGAAGGGGACGGGGGGAGGGATGCAGAAACTCAATTATTTCACTTTTCCATATTGAAAGAAATGAGATAACTTCTTCTTTAATTGCTCCATTGTTAAATGACATGTATTTGTTATTTCTTGGTAAAAGCAAAAGCTGAACTCTTATATCCCCTGAATAATTTCATTTTTGTGGTCAAAATGAGAAGAAAAACATTGAAGAAGTTATCTCTCCACATAATCTGGGGGTAAATAAAAGTCCGGGAATACAATTAGATAGATTAGACTTTGTGAATAATGTTACACCTTTTGTTATTATGTTCACATGACTAAAAATATTATTTTTGTCTCTGTTTCAGACTATTGCCTCTGCTTACTCTCATCCTGTGCCTTACAGATTCTGGGAACGCCCAGGTAAGGTTTGATGGATCTGTGATGAATGTGAATAGACTATATTCTACCACTTTATACTCCAACACCAACACCAACTTACTAGTGTTTCATAAAGGCAGGATGGGATCACCTTACCAGTCTAAATTTGTGCTTTAAATATAAGAAATTTTCTCAAGGTGTGAATTGCCAAGAATTCTAAATAAATATCCCATTCTAATATACCCCCCAACACTGGTGTCTCTTAATGCAGGAAGCCTGGGGACGAGGTTTAAGGCTGCAGGCTAATGGTGTAAACAATGTCACTGGTGCCACCCAAAAGAGGTGAACCTGCCCAGAAAAGGAGTGGTCTGCTCGGAGAATAGACAGGCATGCATCATGCCAAGCTAAGGGACAAATATCCCACAGACAGGCCCTCTAAAGGCAGTCCTTGCTGAGATTTTTATTAGAGGTGATATTACTTTAGTTATTGCAGTCCTGGGAAAAATAAATTTCTTCACCTCTTTTAGCTCTGACTGATAAAGGCATGCAACACGTTTGGTGGTCTGAGAATACATGCCTTATTTAGGAACATTTTTGTTCTGATGAAAGATATCTGTATACAAAGATATATTTTTTTCTCTGTTTAAAACCATAAGAAATTAGCCCAAGTTAATAAAAAAATAAAAAAGAAAAGAAAAAGGAGAGGATTAAACAGGGGCAAACAGGACAATTTAGTCTTTTTTTAGGGTGCAGACGCGCATACCTGGCTCACCAGCTGCAAACATACAATTATATGAAAGAACCTGTTTGATGTACTGTGGGCTTGGGCGGTATGCATATTCCATACATTTTCTTGTATGTGCAGGGGTAAGCATGCAGTGTGGAGATGAGCTTATGCAAAAATCTCTGTGACCATTCTATGCAGAGAGAATACAAAAGATTATGTTGTTTGGCATTTGTCTTTAAAAATCTAGGTTTTTAAACATGCTAATGCAAATGCTGAATCCAACTGAAATAAGTGTATCCAATGTCAATTCCCCTATTGCTGTGAATCACTGCCAAATAGAACAGCTGTCAAGGCATGGGACTCTACTGGCTAGTTGTAGAGATGAGCTTCTTAAAGGAAAATGACTAGACATCTAAACAACATGCATAGCCAAAAAGTTTCAACACAATTAAGGGGATATTACTAATACTGTTGTTTTGCTAAGATACACTGTGGATGAATGAGAATGATGGGAATTATTGATCTGTGCCAGTTAATTAGCTTGTTTTTTTTTTTGGCTATTCCTCCCCAAAAGCCTGTAGAAATATTTTCAGTGACCTCACTTGAGACCTTATGTTTATGACCTGAAGCCCAATGATCAATTTTACCATAGTAAGAATGTTAAAATAATCTCCTGTAAATTTATTGGAACAGAGTATGCAGCATTGAGTTAATAAATAGGACAGTAAATGGATGTGACTGTGTTTACTGTGGTAATGGTACAAGGGGTGGATTTCAGGGTTTTATAAATGTTTGTCTGTGCCTACTGCCCATCACGTGTGTATCCCTGCTGCAGTACTGATCTACCCAACAAGCACCTCCAATTTCACTACCAGTATCGAGAAGACATGCTTATACTATGCAAAACACAGTCAGGGCATTAAGCCCATGTCCAGAGCTTTTTAAAGTGCTTGTGAGCCGTGAACAAAATCTCAATAAAGATAATGTTGAAAAAAAGTGCTGTATGCATGTGCTAGCCCGAGTGGGGTTGTTTTCAGTCAGCCTGGCATGCGTTTATGCCAGGCTGACACATCCCTTTTCTAAGATGACACGCCCCTTTCCAGACACAACTGACTATGTGTGTATTGCCTGTAATACAAGTAGTGCCCCTGGCATTCACCCATAGGCCCACCACTCCCTGTCCCCATTTCATAGCTCCCAGTTAGAGGTGTGGAATGTCTGTAATATTTGTGTTGCTGCAGAGGGAATCGAACTTTGTTGGCCAAAATAGTCAAAACGAAAAACCTCTTGAACTCTGCTGTATTCCTTTTGTACTGGTGTTTTTCTATGATGCTATTTGCTAAACAAATTGTAATGAATTGAAGCCCAAATTGCAATCGTTATGCCAAAAAAAGCAGACTGGAAAAACACCTTATCTTTGTCAGAAAAAAAGCCAAAGAGTGCCCACCCAGTGTGAAGTCCAGCTCTACAACATCTCTGCTGAAAGAGTGTATCATGGTCTATAAGTAAGATACTGTAGGACCGTGCAATAAGCAGTGAACCAGATCCACCTGCATATGGTTTAAGGACATCATTGCTTCATAATAAGGGAATGAAATAAGCCCTATGTAAAATCTTGAAGGACATCTTCCAATAGAAGTGGGGTTGGATACATGCATTAGTGGTTTGCGTAGCAGATATAAGATCCACTGAGGTAAGGTCTGGGAAAACCTTGGGTGAAGTCCTCCAGATGCTACAGTTGAGTGTTCTGGTCAATAACATATCAGAATATTTGGCATACAGTAGCAGTAGAGCGATAGGCTATTATCGGCTATTAGGATTTAGGGTAGAACTGTCCAGTCTGTTTGTAAAGTCAGAAGTAGTAAGAGAAGTGAAGACCTTTCTCAGGTAGGAGGATAATTGTATTTAGCATAAAGAATGAAACTTATGTAATTGAACTTGAGTAATTTAACTAGATGCATACTTGCAAAAACATAATGTTCAATTATATAATTTTTCAACTGAAGGGTAATAGCTTCCTGATTCAAGGATAAATCTGACTGCCATTCTTCGATCAAGAGGGAATTTTTTTCTTAGTTTGTTGCAAAATTGGAAGCGCTTCAAACGGTTTGGTTTTTTTTTTTTGCCTTATTTTGGATCAACCGCAAAGAACAAATGTAAAGAAGGCTGAACTTGATGGACACATGCCTTTTTCAGCCAATGTAACTTGTGAATAAAGAGCAAGATACATATATGTTTATAAGTATCTGAGTCTATAAAATCTTGAATTCAAGCAAAATGTAGTTCTATGAGGGTGTAAAATATATGAGGGGAGAATCCCATTCTGAAATTACAGATTTCCCAGCAAAGGTAAATAAGATGTAGTGGATTTGATTTGTTTTAAACTTTATGCCAAGCTTAACAAGTAGTAAACAATAAGGGATTTTCCCTCACCCCATGAGAACAGTTGCATGAGCAAATATTAAACAGTGAAAACATAAATATTAAAATTTTAAAATATCTTGCTACTATCACCTTGTAGGTCACCCAACCACATAAAAACACATTGTATCAAAAATAGTAAATTGTGGTGAGAGCACACTTGAACAATGTATGTGATACAATACACACGTGCTATTTTACTATGAACTGGATAAAAATTTCCAAAATTCAAAAGAATAGTAGACCATAGTGAAATATGTATATATTGAATAATACTATAAATAAACAAAAATTGGTCTTACTCACATATTGCTGAGCCACTTAATAGTGAGCTCAGACTTTCAGTGCCTTTTGTATAGATGTTGCTGAAATCAATTGCGGGATTGATGACACCACATAAAGTAAAAGTACGTTATAATCAGGATGTAGCAAGCCAGCCCAATCCGGTCAGGTGATTGTACTCTGTGGAACTACTTCACAATGGAGAGACTTTAACCCGGTAGAGACGTACCCAGAAAAATTACGTACCCGGAACTTAATTAAGATATCGGACACACAGGTGCTTCCAAGGATTATGTGCCTTTTTTCAAATTTAAGAAGCAGACACTACTACAGAAAATCTAAGAAGCACTTTGAGAAAGACATTGGTCGAAACGCGTTAGTGCAGTTGCTAATAGAGATTTAAACGCTTTTATTATTACTTTTACTTTTACTCTACTTTTTTGCTTTTATTGGCAAACTGAATGAGAGAGGCCCAGTAACCAGAGGAATATTACATCAGCTTGATCTCCGCAGCATCTACACAAAAGGTGCTGAAAGTCTGAAAGTCCCACTATTAGGTGGCTCAGCAATATGTGAGTGAGACCAATTTGTGTTTATTTATTGTATTATTCAATATATACAGATTTCACTATGGTCTACTACTCTTTTGTATTTAATGCATTTTTATCCAATTCATGATAACATAGTATGTGTGTATTGTCACCACAATTCACTATTTTTGATGCGTGAGTGAATACGTAAGAGAGATGTTTACTGTCCGGACTAAAAGCGTGATCTAACTCTGGCCACAGATAGGTAGACTGGTCCCAGACAAATTCGATTGCAAAACTGTACAAGGATGCCCAATTAAAGGTTTGGGAAGTTTGCAGTTTTGTTTTCAGTTCACCACATTTTAGTTTTGTGAATTAACCCCCTTTCGTGACATCTTGTGATGCTGATACTGTAAGTCTTTCATAGAGATGTCGCGAACCGTTCGCGAACTTCCCGCGAACGGCTAGCCGCGGTTCACCACGAACCGTTCGCGGCGAGCTCCGGTCAGCTGACACATCCCGGCCAATCTCCAGCAGACCCTCCCTCCCAGACACTCCCACCTCCTGGACAGCATCCATGTTGAAGCTGCCGGTTCGCGACATCTCTAGTCTTTCACAGTTGCCATCATTTGAAAAAACATTTCCAGGGACACTTTGTAGAAGTACACACACAGATGTAAACACATACTCTCAAAGAGATACTTGTTTAATGACACACACAAAGATGCATATGCACACTGACACATACAGAAAGAAAAAACAAACATGTTTCTTTCTGTGTCACCTTCCTGTGGCTCCTGGGGTGACTGCCCAGAAATACAGAACAGGTCCTGCAATCCAGGCGTTTTTGCATGAACAGGAGCCCAAAAGATGGGACTGTAGACAACTATAGTTCTTTGGCAGCCATGCCTGTACTAGGGAAATCTGGATTCACAAGTCTAGACTTTGTTTAATTTTCAATTAATTCATTACTCACTAATAGCTAAATATTATCATTGTTTCCATTCACAATGTGAGTTTTGTGAAAATGATATATTATCTGTTTTCACCCTGTCTTTTAGACACAGTGCAACAATGGCTTCGAGATGGACCGATCATCTGGGCAATGTTTAGGTAGGACAATACTGTATGCTTATTGATGTGGAGTTATGTGGTACAAACACACTGCACATTACTGTGGGTTTTATTCATTTGTAGCTCTCTGAATAATTACACACACTGCTCATTACTGTTTTATCGTTGTGGATTTGTTATACACGGCACATTACTGTGAGTTTCAATGTGAGTTTTACACTCACACACATTAAACCAGGGGTAGATCCCCAGATGTCGTATATATCTACAACTCTCATGATGCTTTGTCATTCCAAAAGCATTCTAAAACATGCAAAACATCATAGGAGTTGTAGTTCTACAACATCTGGGGATCTACCTTTTGGGCACCCCATGCATTAGCCATTACCAAGAGTTCTATTGCTATGGAATGGTGGAGGAAGGGCCGTGGGGGAGAGCGGGGCAGTTTTTGTTCTAATTAAAAATAAATGAAATCTATTGATTAATGTTATGTATGTTATATAAAAAAAATATGTGTCATTTGGTTTTACAATATACCCTCCCCCCTCCTTCATGATGGCTAGCGATGCTGCATATATCCTTCTCGGACATGCTTGGCCTGCTGTAGTAGCATTTCTGAAGTCACCAACTGGCTTTGTATTGGTCTATTGCATCTTGTACACTCTTAAAGATGTTTTATCCTGTATTCTAGGCATGTCATTGGGTAACAGTATTAATTGGTGGAGTTAGTAACTTTTTAAAAATTGGCTATTGTTTAGCAAATACATGTATTTATAGACAAATGTAGTTAAACAGGACATAGCGCCTCATTGGGCCAGGGATGACAACATGGTGTTTAGTGTACAATGTCAAATTCCCAATGTAGAGTATAACACACCACCATCTTGGAACATCACCAAATGCCTCCACTGGGGTGCTTTGTGATATATTCACACACTGTACATTATTGTGAGTTTTATTGCTTTGAACTCTATGATACACTCACACACTTTGTACGCTACTATGAGTTTCATCACTATGGAGCTTTGTGACACCCATAAATTCTTACTTAAAAAAAAAAAAAAAAAAATGATACCTAGGTAGAAAAGAGGGACTGGGTCTGAAATAGACACTGTTTCATCAAAAGAGGGACAAATTTAAATATATAAACAAGGATATTGGCCTTATTAGACGTCAGGATTTAGGGCTTCTTTAATACTATGCAAGAAATATGAGCATAAAAAATGAATTTAATTATCTTAAAGTAAATGTAGATAATTGGCTTCTTGTTCTCAGCCTTGTAATACATTTAATAAATTATGTAGTTGTGTAATACGTAGTACAAAGGAGAAGTTTTACTGTGATGTATTCATAAAACAGATTGGATTGAACCCAGGGCTAAATTGCAATATTTAATCCCACTGGGGTATTTTGACCTAAATAAATGATGCAGCTTGGTATAGTTAACACTAGACACTCTTTATCAGCCAAACCTCTTTCCAGAGTTCTGAATTAGGTCCAGTATGTCTAATAGCAGTCCAGCTACCCCCTCCATAGTTTGTTGTAAACATACAAGATGGCTGCCTCAGGCAGTCTTATTTCTATGTAAAGAATATCTCCCAACATTTAAAATGGGCAAAATACTATTTGCAACTAAAATGTAATTTAGTTCAAGAATAATTAATGTATCTTTTTTACACAGACTGATTTCTAAACACATTTATAGTGGTTTAAAGACCCATTGCTGTGAGCATTATTGCTGTGGGGTCCTGGAATAAACTCACATACCAACAATATGGACTTGCTTAAAAAGAAGGACATTATGATAGGACAGAGGGATTTGGACACAAAATAGTGACTGCCCCTCATTTGGGAGGTATGCGTAAACTGGACAAGTCATTGAATTCCAGTGGTGCAGCATATATATATATATATATTTTGGATTGCCGAGCACTGAAACAATGAAAAAACTCATTATTCTATCTACACCATGCAATGCAAATTACACATGTTATGCTAAATTATGCAGTGGTGCCTTATGGTTGGTAAATTAACTGCCCCTGTACATGCTACGTTTTGTGTTTTGATTTTTTTCCACACAGTACAAACATATCTCGAAAACATAAACAGAACTTTATCAGTGTGCACCATCTGTCACATTCCTCTGTTTGTTTTGTCTAGATGTGGATGAGTGTCGTACCATCTCAGATGCTTGTCGGGGGGATATGATGTGCGTGAACCAAAATGGAGGCTACCTCTGCATTCCCCGAACAGGCACCACGTTCAGATCACAATACCGCAACTCCTTCCTCCCTGCTGTGGCACCCCTACCTTCACCAAACTTCCCATCTCCATCCCGGCCCCTTATATGTCGCTTTGGGTACCAATTGGATGATAACGGTCAATGTGTTGGTAAGTGATGTCTGTGCCTCAAATCAGTTACATATGTGGATGCTTTAATTAAGCAATGTAAATTGGAAAAATACCTCTTAATAGAGCTTGATTAATATTTTACAGGAAGGCTGACTATTTCAGATCAATAGGCCTTACATATTTAATTAAGTCAATGGTTGTGGCTTAGTGAGAGGTTTTTCACAAAACTCTGAATTATAACAAATTAAAATAAGAATGGCACAATTGAGGCTAGCTGAGATCAATCTTGAGATAATATTTTTTTTCCTTAATCTAAATTTTAACATTTAAATTTACTTAACGTCCTTTATTTTATTTATTTATTAATATTTCTGATAATTTGTATATTACCGGAGTCTTCCTTATTAATGCACCTCACTGCAGCCTCCTTCCTAAAGCCCTTATCTGTTTAGATGCCTGTCACGGAAGCTCCCGTGCCACAGCCTGCTGGAGAGGCATAACTGTTAGCCTCCTGCCCACAGACTATGGGCCTGGTCACATGAAAAGAACTACAAAGCAACAGGGTGATTCCTTGCACTAATTGCCACCTCCCCTTGTGCCAATACACCATGACAACAAAAGGTTATCTTGGTTGGACCCTCTGTCCCTTCGGAGCAGTCTCTGGTTACGCCAATGCGGCCCTTTGCTGTAGTGGATAGACTTGCTGGCTCTAACAGCATGTGGTCACTCATAGTGCAGCATTTAACATGATTAGCCCACAGAATACATTTCACACCTAACTATACTTTATAATTTATGGAGCCCCCCCTTTGTTAACCCACAGCTGCATGTGCAGACACACACACTGCTCTGTGTATAATGCGGGTACACAGTACAGCAATATCTGGATACGTGGAAGACGGTCATGGAAGTGGCACCACAAGCTTTTGGCTTGCGCCAAACAAATCAGGCCATGCATCACAATGATATATAAGATATGCGGTTACATTGTGTTAATGTTGAGTTATTATGTAAAATGTTGAGCTGGATGAAGCTATTGTGTTAATTGTATGTTTTTTTTTTTTGTACCTTGGAGATAATTGAGTTTGTACAGTTCCTGACTCAATTATCTCTCAGGCACAGGGGAGGTAGACAAGGAATCTCTGCGTGTTCATGTCCGTGTCTTATAGGTGCTGGCCTACGAACCGGCCTGGTGCTGGAGGAATGACTGGTACTACCGCTGGGATGTTACTGCCTGCCAGACTCCATGCTTTATGTTTCCCGACCTGGGAATAGGCTGACTAATATAGGGTCATCGACCTGCATTGTCACTCCTAAACAAGAGGTTTAATATCACACCCTTAAAGTGACCATCTTGTCTTCAAATTTTATTTTAATTTGGGTCTGTTTTCTTTTGATTTGATTTTAACCCATACGTGATGCCCCTGGCGCTGTCATAGTGGATAATTTCATCGCTTCATGCGAGTAAATGATGCTTGTTATTCTTAGCGAGTGAATTCATGCCACTATTCATATATTTAGAATTTACACCTTACTACATACTTGTATTTGATCATGCTTGTCTCACTTGTTGATTACGTTACTCCATAACATATTGTGCTTTAACTTTTAAACTGAACTTTAATGCTTCGCTTCCCACCAAATCTCGCTGTCAGTTTGTGTACGAATAATAAAATCAGCCTGTCTAATCATGTTCTGTTATGTGTTTATTGCAGATATTGATGAATGCGTAAGTGAAACCCATCACTGTAACCCAACCCAGATCTGTATAAACACAGAAGGTGGATACACCTGCTCCTGTACAGAGGGATACTGGCTGCTGGAGGGACAATGTCTAGGTAAGCTTTGGGTGTTTGCTCCTCATGATGCCAAGTTTCAGATAGAACTGTGACAATCCAATTTTTGAGGTGCAGGAAAGAAGCCAATACTGTAGTAGTAAATGGTTGGTTCTGATTCAGACGCAGATCGAAACCTCAGTCTCAAGCACCCATTATTTGTGTCCTACTCACAAAGTGCACATTCTGGATCAGGAGTAGGCAACCTTTGGCACTCCAGATGTTGTGGACTATATCTCCCAGAATGTTCCATGCTTTCATGGCAAAGCATCATGGGAGATGTAGTAATCAACCTCAGGAGAGCCAAAGGTTGCCTACTCCTGTTCTGTTCTAGATGTTGAATGCTTACGTCCATATGTTCCAAGCGTGTGGCACACATTTAATCACCATAGATAATATCAGAAAATAAGAGTGGTCTCTCTAAACACTTCTCTATGTAAGTGGCCCAGTACTGCAACAGAAAGGAAAAAAATAAAAACACAGTCTGGAGTTTGCAATAAGTATCCTTTGTTTTTTATGGAAATTGCAAGATATATTTGTTATAATGGTCCTTTTCTCAGCTATTTTAGTACCTGCTTTTTACAAGAAATTCTTAGAGGGAACTCGTTTATCTGTGAACGTATTATTGTGTTGTTCTGCGACCTTCAGCCTTTATGTTTTTCAATATATGTATATGTTTTATATTTAATATTTTCTTGACTACAAATAAGTTATGGGCCTGTTCGTTTTTCTCCTACATTGAAAAACTTTGCAGTTTTGGAGACGCCTCAATGCTTACATTGTGGGGTTAAACACACCCTTAGTGATTGTCTCCCTAACAGCCATTAGATGGCACGTTTGCAGCCACAACCAAGTCAGACTCAGTTCTTTGACGTTCAATGACCTCACGCATTGCACAGGACGTTGAATGTCCTCTGTTGCTACTTTGTGATAAGCACTGAATTCAGTGCTTCTCCTTTGACTGGCAGAGAGCGGCCCACATGCACCTTTTGTCTGTAATGCTTCTCTATAAAAATATTTTTGGGACAAAATGTCATCAAAGCCGATGACATCATATAGGTGGATCAGACTGCTAAAAAGAGACTGTCTCGGCACTGGATTCCAGTAAGCAAAGTTTTATTTTAATTGTTTTTTTTTTCTTGTTTCCTTTTTATATATTATTATATATATTATTTATATATATATATATATATATATATATAATAAAAAGTGGTGGGGTGTAATCAAATTCACCCTACCCTGATTTTTGTGCCCCCCCACCCCTTTTTTTTTAAATTAGTGACCTATAGTGCTCCTTTAAGTTGTTCTGTTAATGTACATGTTCTAAGCTGCAAAGTAATAGTGTGGAATTATTCCTTTTCTCATTCATAGGCAGCCTTTTTACTGTGAAATTCCAGCAGCTAATAGGTTAAGGATGGTTGCTGCATCGAATAGGGTTAAAGATGTTTTGTTTGTTCTTTTTTAGAAAAAATAATAATCTACAGATCTATAAAACAGTGCGAACGAATGGGATACAGATGTGCATGTTATGTGTTGTCCACAAACAAATGAGGATTTCCCAATCCGGCCCGAAAAACTTTAACAAGTATTAAAATGTAATAGTTTGTGTAACGATGTTAATGGGATGGCACACATTACTCTCCATCCATCCAAGAGATGGATGATTGGCAGGAAATGAAGCCATGTTTGCATGGTGGATTGTTAGGTATTGCGATATTTGTGGTTACTTGGGATAACTTACAAAGAGGAGGAAGACATTATTTGAAATATAAACATAGCTTTCTTGTGTCATCGGAATTTAAATCAAATGTAACCAAACCCTTTCCTGAACTCCTAGAAGGTCTGTGGTTAGAAGATAAAACAAACTTAAACCTCTTGTTTACTTTCTATGAAACACAATAATTACAGAATAACATCAGCTTCTGATTAATTCCTATCCTTAGCTAATTCACCTTATTCTACTAATGTGCACCCTTGTATTCAATGTAAACTTACACATACGCAGCAAACTGCGATGTACCGTGTGCTCTGACACCTTTCTATAATGGCAAGCATTAAAGGCACCCAGACCACTTCAGCTGATTGAAGTGGTCTGAGTGCATATTCCCAGGTCCCTTAACCCTGCAAAGGTAAGGATTCAGGTTTCTAATTAACTGCAATAATTACCTTTAGGGGTTAACTCAACCTCTAGTGGCTGTCTACCCGACAGCCACTAGAGGGCCTTCCGGGTCATTACGCAACTTTAGTTCGCCTAACTGACGCTGGATGTCCTCACGCTATGCATGAAGGCATCCAGTGTCACCCGACAGCCCATAGGAAAGCCCAACCTGTTCTAATGTGAGCATGGCCATTGCCGCACATTATGTCCCCTAAGGCGGACTTTGGTAAGCGGGTGAAGTTTTTTATTAACCCGTTCTGCATCATGGGGGTGGGTGGCGCTATAAAACTTTATTTTCGAGGCACTATGGTTTCCCTTTAAGTGTTTGGGAAATCTGAGCTACATTAGCTCTTCCGTGTAATCGCCCTCCCCCGAACGGGCTAGCCTTCGATCCCCACGTGCATCAATGAGCCTTGGTCCCCTGATGCCGGTTCACTGGTTGTCCTTGAACCACTTTTGGTAGGTAATAACCACTGCTTTCCAGGAACAGCCCACAAGACTTGCAGTTTAGAGATGCTTTGATCCAGTAGTCTAGTCATTATTATTTGCCCTTGTCAAAGTCACTCAGATCTTTTCTCTTGCCCATTTTTTCTGCTTTCAACACACGTAATTTAAGAACTGACTGTTCACTTGCCGTCTAATGTAGCCCACCCCATTGACAGGTGCTATTATAATAATATAATCAATGTTATTCACTTCACCTGTTAGTGGTATTAATGGTGTGGCTGATCAGTTTATGTATTTATCTATAACAGTTCTAATATATCGCTCTTGTCAAGAGCACTTTGCAATTATGCAAAAAGAACATTGGCAATTGTACAGATAGGGGACATTAGATTAGACATATGAAAAGAGGATCCTGCCTATGGAGTTTAAGCACCCACAAGGTTATAGGATCATTTTGCTGGCTCAAAGCGCATGAGTGCGATCTGGGCTGGCAAAGGGAGGGAGAGTTAAAAATAAACCTCTGTGCAATGGAGTGAGGCTGGAGGGAGCACACAGTGTGAGAGATGGGGAAGCATTCTTCTCCCTTGCAGGTATTCTGTCTGCAAGGGAGAAGATCATTATATCTGTCACCAACACACTTTGGGCACTAACGACAGACACAATATATGCACAGAATTGACCTGGACTCAGAATTAGGACTTCACTAAAAAGTGGTTTTGACCAATCTTCATTAAAAAGGTCATATGTGTGTGTAATAACACTCTTTTCTTCTTGGTACTTTATTCAACTTCAAAAAAATTAAAACATTCTATTTACAGTCTAGACTAGAGTCTAATGGGCTCATTGAGAGAGCACATCAATCACTGATAACGTATATATGTTGTTTTCAATCAACAAGCCAATTGCAGTTAGATTTTCCCACAGATAACTTGCATGTAATTTTCTCGTTTCAAAGTTATCCTGACAAGTTTAAGATTTTTTCCCTCTGTATTTTGTCTAGGTTTCTGTAATGCAACCTTTTAATCCCTATGTTCCAACTCTATTTCTCCTCACCCCCAAATTAAAATTAGTTAAAGAGACAGACTCGGCAGTAAAATCACTTTTTTTGTTGCATATCTGCTGCCTTGATAACAATATCATAGAAAAGAGTGCTTTTTCTGAAAGCTGTTTTTCGATTCACCCCCACTTTCAATTCCTACGGCCTTAGGGGCTGTCAATCAGATCTTCCCTCTAAAATAGATTCAACATTTGCATCTATTTCTAAGTCTGTTATCAGCATGCAAAGTAAGCCTAGGCTGAATGTTTGACCAATGCTTTTAATAGAGAAGCACTAACCTGGTAGACTCTGGTAATAGTCGTCCACTAATGCTTCTCAGTGAGATCATTTGATTGACCACTGCCCAACATGGACAAGAATTTTGCTTCAGTTAGGAGGTGTTACAGGTGTAGTAACAACAAGGGCACCAAGAGGGTCACTTATGGCCTTAAGTGGTCCTCATTAGTGACTAGATCTTGGTTTGACAAGTCCTCATAGACAAAAAAATGGCCATTTACTAGACCTTATCTGCCATTTATTACCACAAAACACACTTCAAGCTATTGAAGACCTCCATTTGTTTCTGGTGTGAATATGATCAGATTCAGGACTCTATAACAAAACTCATACACCTGTGACACTGATTTGAAACCCCTGCTGTATCTCAACACTAGATTTCCCACTGCTTTGTCTTCTAAGGCCAAAGATTAATGAGTGTTGTGGACTAACAGCTGGAGTGGTAGACTTTGCCAATGTCTATGGTACAGGTTTTTCCTGCCAAAGTATATGCCACGTGACCAGGCCTGGGATTACATGTTCACGAGAAGTCCAGGATAATATTTCGGCAGGTTAAACGCAAAGAGTTGAGCAATGTGTACTGTTATCTAGATTCCCAGCCCTGAAAGCATTTTTAATAACAGACACTAAGTGGCAATAAGTGGTTTGAACGGATGTCCCCTGGGACTGCGTAGGAAATTGTTTGTTTGAGCCAATAATAAATAAAGACACATCTGAGAAAACGCTTATTCAAAAGGATCACAGTTGGAACAAAGACTGCTCTGTTATGCTCTGTTCTCATAAATTATATATAAATATGCAATACATGGGGCTTGTTTGTTCCAAATGTTGGATTTCAAAATTCTTTTTCAGCCAAAAACAATTCTTCAAAATAGTACATATAAAAATGCAATTATTTTTTTTTAACCCCAAAACACGCATGGAGAGTGAATAAGTTAATATGAGTATTTTACTAGCCACTATATCTTACCTTTAATGTATAAGGATGATGTCCCTGGTGCTCGCCCATAGTGCAGGAAAGCTGTGATTGCACCCACATTCCCTTTCTGCTTTCTTATGTACTTTAGTGAACATAAGAATTGTCTTCTTGGACTGACTGCCAAGGGAGAAAGCTGCATGGTGACAGAGCTCCTCAGTTATTTCTGGCAATTAGCCTTAATAGTTGTCTTTTTGGAACTTGTACCAAGGAGATAGCTGTATCCCAGCTGACAATCACCTGGCTATACACAGAACTAAACTGGGACTGTTTACTAGTCCATTCCTCAAGTGCATTTGTGGTGGATTCCCTTGTGGCCTGGTGGACAGCTTGGAAAGAGGGAAGCAGTCTATCTTTTGTTTGGAGATGCCCTGTTACCATCTTGGCTTCCCCACCTCTTGGCATGTGGGGGTGATCCCGGCCTACACTGACCGATCCAGCCTCTCATGAGGATCTATTCTGAAGGCACTAATGTGCCATATCCCAACAACATCTAACTAAAGGTTCCAAAATGGCTGACATCTATGCTCCTGCCAAGCGGGACTTCCTTCAGGCGTTTGTCTGTGCAGCACCTTTTGTCGGAAGCTGGAAAATTCCTCTGCATCTATGGTGCCTTAGCACCCTACCCAGCTGCAGCATAGCTTGCGGAGTCTGAGGCTTCAGAGGGCCAAGGTGCTCCCATTGATGGCTCCCACACTGGATGGACAGGGCCATGTATCTTCAGGTTGGGTCCTTCGACCCTCACACAGCTCCCACACCGATAGGATTCGAAAGCAGTGGCACGATTACAGAGCTAACCCAGCTCATTGATGTAACCCAGCCCTCGGGAAGACTCGGAGCATCAGATGCACTGAGATGAAAGATCACAGTGCCAAAGCCTGCAATAGAGCCTGGAGACTGGTTAGCACATGCCTGCGATTACAGGAGGCTGTAGGTCTGGAAGTGGAGAGGCAGCAGGATCCATTCAGTGATCGATCTCCGGGGTCCCGAGCTCTTTGAAGGGGAGTCGGGTGGACTCTAGTGACTCTGCTTCTGCACACAATTCGTTTTTGGTGCAACAGTTTTTTTTTGTTGTACTAATTTAAGTTTATTTTTGTGCCTTCTCACTGAATGTCTTATTATGCCCATGAAAAATTTGTTATGTTTGATCTAAGCACTATTGGCTAATGACCAAGCACTATGTTTCACTCATGTAAGCTCATGCTATATTAGTTTAGCTATGTTAAGCGACCATCACCTTTTCTTTTATTACTTTAACAAAATCTAAAAAGTGCATATTCTTGACTAGTGATGTCGCGAACCCGAAATTTTCGGTTCGCGAACGGCGAACGCGAACTTCCGCAAATGTTCGCGAACTGGCGAACCGCCCGAAACGCCATTGACTTCAATGGGGAGGCGAATTTTAAAACACACAGGGACTCTTTCTGGCCACAATAAGGATGGAAAAGTTGTTTCAAGGGGACTAACACCTGGACTGTGGCATGCCGGAGGGGGATCCATGGCAAAACTCCCATGGAAAATTACACAGTTGATACAGAGTCTGGTTTTAATCCATCAAGGGCAGAAATCACCTAACATTCCTAAATCACAATCAATATGGATTGACACCTGACATATGACATATTGACACCTTGACATATGGATTGACACCTGTCCTCAGAGCCCCTGATGCACACGGACACAGAGCAGAATAGAGACTGGTCCCCCTACATAGGGTCACTTGGCAGATATGGATTGACACCTGTCCTAAGGATCCCTGATACACACTGACACAGAGCAGAATAGGGACTGTTCCCCCTACATCGGGTCACTTGGCAGATATGGATTGACACCTGTCCTAAGGTTCCCTGGTACACACTGACACAGAGCAGAATAGGGACTGGTCCCCCTACATCGGGTCACTTGGCAGATATGGATTGACACCTTGTTACAAACTGCTATTTGTAACGGGCCCTTTAAATGGCAAATTGCCCTGCTTCCCTGGGTTGTGGAGAAGCCTATTTGCCAGCCTCCTCCCGCATGACTATGGCCCCTGGGAGATTGTGAAAATGTATGCACTTTTATTTGGTGTGTATGGCCCTTTAAGACTGTCGGTGGGCATATTGGGGCTTATGGACTCTTTATGTGACTGGTGCTGGCCCTTTAAACACCTTTTTTGGGACATCAGGAAGATTGGGACACTGCCCCTTTAAGGCCGTGTCCCCAGACTTGTTGGGGACACGGCCCCTTTAAGACGGTGTCCCCTGTGTCCCCAGACCTGGTGCAAACCCTTTGTGCCTGCCTTGCTATTTTCCACTTGGTTCAGTAAATGGGAAATTATTTCAGCTGCAGAGACTAAGTCCCATTCGGCGATGGGACTTAGTCTTTTTTTCAGCCGTTTTTTTCAGCCTTATTTCAGCTGCAGAGACTAAGTCCCATTCGCGATGGGACTTAGTCGTTTTTTCAGCCTGAAATAGACCGACCTCACAGCCCAAATCTATGGAACTGTTTTGGGCAGGAAAATGTGCTTGCGGTCGGTCATAAAGGGACCTCCAGCTAACTTTTTAACCCCTGGATGGATTTGGCTGATTTTTGGTTATGTTTATGTTTTAAGTGTGCTGATTCCAAATATGTAATTATGAAGATGGGATGTGTAGTTTTAAAGTTACAGTGTATGGCTAAAAACTGTATTTTTACTGCCTGTGTTTAATTATGTTAATCTCTTCCCAAACGTCATTTCGTTCAAAGTGGAGAGAATGTTAAAAAAATATATTTTTGTTCGGAGTGTGAGAAATGCTTTTCAGCCGCTTCTAATCTTAAGCATCATTTGAGGAGCCATACAGGAGAGAAACCTTATTTGTGGTGTGTTTAGTATTGTTCTGATCAGTTTAATACCTTCCGCGTCTCCTATCAGTGGACGTGTATATGGCAGCCATTTTAGGAACCGTACACCTGGGACCCGAGCAAGGTCACCTCGTTCAACAGGCGACAACATTTGTCCCTGGAAAACTATCCTGGACATTCTGTACAATTTGTATGGATATGGCAGTGATTTCTGTAACAGGGAGATGGAAGAAGATGCTTGGTCGGTCCTCTTAATTCAAATTTGGGGCACTGCGCGGTCAAGCTAATGTGCCACCAGATAGGAGTGGTGTGTTTAGTATTTTTCTGATCAGTTTAATACCTTCCGCGTCTCCTATCAGTGGACGTGTATATGGTACACGGCATTGATTTTTGTAACAGGGAGATGGAAGAAGAGGCTCGGTCGGCCCTCTTACTGCAAATTTGGGGCACTGCGCGGTCAAGCTAATGTGACACCAGATAGGAGTGGTGTGTTTAGTACTATTTTTATCAGTTTAATACCTTCCGCCTCTCCTATCAGTGGACGTGTACACGGCATTGATTTTTGTAACAGGGAGATGGAAGAAGAGGCTTGGTCGGTCCTCTTACTGCAAATTTGGGGCACTGCGCGGTCAAGCTAATGTGACACCAGATAG